ATGTATACTGCATTCGAAAAACAACCATATATATAAACTCTTTTTCTTCTCGAATAAATAATAATAAAAATAAAAGTAATAATTCTAATGCATAACGAAAAATTCTACTCTTGTGAAGTTTGTTGTCTAAGAATGTTCTATACGCAGTCTCCTTGTTTATGGTACGAACGGAAGAGGGAGAAAGAAAAACGGAAGAGAGAGAAAAATGGAAGTGAAATTCCATACACACAAAACACTTTTAACTCCAGCGATTTTTACGATCGACATTCGTAAAAATATCAAAAATCTTTTTTCGCCTGCGCAATACACCGTTTCTCTTTGAATTAAACTGCGTAAAACACTTCACAGACACTGTGAACAAAACGAGAAAAAATATAATACAATTTTTCTTGTGTATAAAAAAAAGCCTTATTTCTGTCCCTGTCATCTATTCTCCCGAATTATTACCAAAAAATAACCTACCGACACTGAACTGAAAATGTTCTTTAATGCACTTTTGGTGCTAGCTTTTGTTCAACGTGTATATGGTACTACGGTAACGGCCACTCCTAGCAGTATTGTGAAAGCTGAAACTGATCCAGTTTGTGATCCTTATACAATGAAAACAGATTCGTATCCGTCAATTCTCGTTCAATTAGATGTCGTGCTGACAAACCCTCTTACTCTGCGTGCAACGACACGTCTTCAGAACAGCAGTGAAGTTATAACATTCGAAGGTATCATGTTTCCATCGGGCTTTTCCAATGATCACGCCCTAGTTGCTTGTCGATCAATGGGTTGTAGTAGAGTGAGTGCAAATACTCAAGTATATTGGACTCAAACGCAGACTTGTCGATTTACCTGTCCAGATGGCACAACTGGATTGCAACTGTGCCGTTATATGCAATCTTATTTGAGTTGTCCTTCGAATCCAAATGATGCTATGAGTTTGAAGGAATGCGTTGTGAAGCCATTTTGGGCTGATTATAGCAACTATCCTTCGAGTAACGGTGCTGTTGGTCTTGTCTGTACCGAATGTGGTGACTTGTGAATTCTTGCAGCTCTTAACTTCAAAGACATTTTTTCTGTAATTTATGTTTTTCCTCTTTTTTTACTGATTCAAATTTCGGTTACACGTTTTTTCCTTTTTGGGGTCTCTAATAAAGTCTTTTAGAAATGACGTCTCTTTTATGAATCTACTACAGAAGTTCGAGAGAACAGTGATACAGTACAGTGCAGAAGCCTTTGATCCCAGAATTACTAACATGAATAAGACGAATGCAGAAACCAAATAGATACACATATAGGGGATAGTGAAAAATTGAAAAATAAATTACTGTATTGATGATCATGTTGCCTTCCGATTAAATGACAGAAGAAAAACATTCTTTCGTCATCCCGAGAAAATTATTTAGGAAAGCTAAATTAACTATTTTTTTCATTTTATGTAGAAATCTACTGAACCGATCAGAATTTACTAGCTCCATTTTCTCAAAACGGTGTTTGATGATGAATGAAACGTTTTCCACCGAATAAATGTGCATTCCATCTGATCTCCATTCGATCATTTGATGTATTTTCTTGTATAGAGATTTTTTTAGGCTCATAATTAACTACTGATGTAATCTTGGAAAAACTGAACATAGAAGATTTATGAGCATCACGATCAAACGAATAACTGCTAATCAAGCTCTTGTTATTTCATCGAATTCGCTAAATTACCTTCTCTTTGTTTACAAAAGTGATTCCAGGAATGTGGTTAAAATGGCACTCACCTTCTCTTATACCTTGTTCTGTGATCACGACGCATTTCATTTAATAGTTCGAATGAAAAACTTGATCAAACGACTATTTTTGGTCAAATATCGATGACCCATTCCATCAACAATGTAAATGAGCTTCTTGATTTATTTTCGGCAGACTAGGCTTTTATTGTTGAATCATTTTTTCATAAGCTGGAGATTTTATGAAATGATCTGTGATTTAGAGAACAATAGATTGAACTCTCTTTCGTATCTGGAAACGTCGAATAATCTCATCAATTTCTAGAGATATGCTATCGGACAATTAGCCTATGCACGGGTCAAAGACTTTTGCACTTTAGTGTAGCTATAGAACTTGAAGTAACAATTCTTCTTACTACGATATTTCTAAAACAGAGCGAAACGAAAGCTGAATCGTCTCACTTATTATGCATCGAGTTTCTTATTAACAGCTGCGAAAACTTGCATTATGCGTTTCTCTTTCACAATGTATGATACGTAGGCGCATTTTCACTACAAACTGATCTGTGCATATCTATCATTCTCATGAATATGCACTTAACGATTCTGGGTTTACAAAAGTATCACATGGGCTTCAATGCCCGCTATTCAAGTATACTGTATGTAAGGATATCGAATTTCTGCAAAAATAGACCAAAGGCATACGCGTCAATCAAGTTTTCTTTCTCTGTCTCTCTTTATGGATGAATCATGCAACACAAAAGACATAGGCTGCGGGTGTGGGTTGTAGGTATGGGTGTCTGGTGTGGGTGAGTGTGAATATGAGTGAAAATTAAAACACCCACACCCTCTTTCGTTTGAACTATTGCAGACATATTAGTTCATAAGAAGTTTTTCGCAATACATATATAATAACTTTACACTCACAGTGGAACAGCACTGGTTATTCTTGAACATTCGAATGTATTTTTGTCATGTTCAAGCATGAAGCCGGTGCACACTTTAACTGAACTATTGGTAGATTCGTGCATAAACAAATATTTTACTACACATGTAACAGAAATTGACTGGTTTCTACTATTGATTCTTGTGTTATCGCTTGTTTTGCAGCTACATCAAACACAAACATTTTTCCATAAGTAATCGATCAGAACTGTTTTTTTTTGTTGTAAAGTCCGTCATGAAAAATACTCTTACCATCTTTAGTTTTCAATAATTACTTATGCTTATTCTCCCTGAAATATCGAATGGACTAGTCAATGATCTTTTGGCTTTTTCTTAATTTTAAATTCTGAGACTAGAATCACTTTCGACAATACTGATTAATAGCTTGTTTGATGATAACAATATGTGACTCTGATTCAACTGCCTCACGTTGGTATAACAATGTCAACTTTTTACAAAAACTGTTTGTTTTTTCACTTGTCACATGTACACTTCACTGCTCGCGCCAAACACCATGTTTTGGATTGTAGAATAGATGCACATCTTTTGTTGAATCTGTCAATCGCATTCGTAGTGTGTACATTGGTTCATTGTAATGGCCTTGCCAATAAAATTCAATATAAACGTCCATTTTACTGGTATTATCGATCACGGGTATTTTATGCTCGATGAACTCTTGACCTGTGAGTCTTTGAGATTCGTATTTGGATGCGGTTCCTTGTCGAACTAGTATTCTTACTCTTGAAAAAAGTGTATACGGAATGTCTTGATCAGGATCAAGACCCATGATCTTAATTATTTGTTTCTTAATTGTAATACGTATTCGTCGATGGAGTTCCCATTCAGGTATGGATATATTTAATTTAGCCATCAATCCTCGCATAATATCATCATATAAAGCATGTATATTGAGGCTAGCCAATTCAGCCAATAATTAATTTGCCACCACGTTTGCCAACCATCTGTGGAATATCTGCTGCTGGTGTAACTCGTAATGAAGAACCCAACACTAGACACACATCAGCTTTTCGTGCATGTTCAAAACTTGCTTCGAGTTCTTGTTTAGGAAGACTTTCACCAAAGTTAATAATTGAATCGTACAGTGTCGAACGACATTTAGAACACTTACGAGTTGTTTGATGATCGTGAGCTTTGACAGCTGTTCGCGTTCGATAATCACGTAAACATTTCGTTTGACATTTTTTGCATACCTCCAAATTAGAATTTCCATGTAATTCGGCTATGAGAGTTGAAGGCAAGCCAGATCTTAAATGAAGACCGTCTATGTTTTGAGAAACAACAAATTGAAGAAGATTCTGACGAGCCAATTCAACCAGTGCCATATGTGTAGCTGATGGAATCGCTTTTGTCATATTGACTGTAAAAGCCGTTGGAGAACGTTTAACACCTGGATGGTCACGAAGTTCCCATACACCCGGTCCCGTTGGAAGAATAGTATTTATACTAGATCGAAAATCAGGAATACTAAACAGAGAATAACAATAATTATATTCTAAAAATTAAAATGTAACACTCATTCGTCAATAAATTATGCAGCTCTTATTCCTCTTCGTTGGAAGAAAAGCCAGTGTAGCCTATATGTTACCCATGAGTAAATCAGAAAAGGTTCAAGAGTGTTAGTCTTTTTCAGTAAAACCTTCTTGATAATATCTCGTATTCTAATCATTCAGTCCTTGACTTCTCGCTAAAAACTTGCTAACTAAGAAAATATCATAAGTTCTACTCACCCTGTAGATGTCGATATACCTGCACCTATAATTAAAAATGTTTCTTTTATTATCTTATTTATTTCAACTTTATTTGTGACTGACCAGTAAACACAATAAAATGTTTAGCGTTACGAATCCAATCAGCCAATTGCTCAAGTTTCTGATCGATAACTTTCGGTGAATCGATAATTTCCTTTTTCGTAGGATCTTCATCAGCAATGCCATGTGCCATCGTTTATTATTTTAATTATCCTTCTCTCAATTTATAATAAAAATTTTTTGATATATATATACATTGGGTAACTAAGTGTCGTTTGTAGAATTGTTAACCATTCAAAAGAAAGAGCTTGCGCAACAATGTTGCCATTACAAACTATGTGCGTCATTGATCAATGTTGACTTTCGATCGAATGTGAAAATAGCAGAGCAAAAAAGAAAACCATTTCTCTATTTTAGTTTCTCAGAGATGAATTGAAATACAACTATGATAGGGTGTTGTAGAAGATTATTGAATGGACATTCAAATGTAAGAAAATATATAAAATACATGTCGCTAGCAGCAAACTTCATTTCATTTTACTGAAAATTCAAGAATTTATTATTTATGAGGCGGCTTTCAAAGTGAATTGAGTTTATTATTCATAAAATGAAATGAATCATCATATGAATAGTTTTATCATTGTCAACTTCTTCTTATAATCATTACTTTCGACACCATATCGTTGTTTTAAAAATTTCATACAAATGTATGACGCAAGTTTTTGTCAGCATTTGAAATTCTGCAAGCAACTCAACATGATTGAAGCTATGGACATGTATCAGACAGAAAATGTGACAAAATGTTTAGTTCATATCGACAACATGCACTAAAATTCGGTGTCGACAATGATCTACAATGATGAACATCATTTAGACACATAAATCATTTTTTTTTGCTGCTATTAGAAAGATTTCTATCATCGATTTGCATAAGCATGTCAGTGTCTTTTACTACAATATGTTGTATTTAATAAGTGTTCATCACACAGTTTTCAGAATATGGATAAGCCACACATTTATCATTCAGCTAAATAAAAACATGAATCAACAAGCGTCAGGTATCTCATTGCTCTGGTAGCAAATAATCTTATCAACAATTATTTTAAAAATGATTTAAAATAAGGCTAAGTCTATGTGTGACCATTAAATTAATATTAGAATTAGCACTCTGGATTCCATATACATCACGATTTATATAAGGCCTTGTAATATGTTATCTCCAAGAACAAAGTATTTATCTTGAGACAGAAAATTTTACAAGTGCCAAGCACTATATGTGTTGTTTCTTCCAAAATTCTAAAATAATTAACGATTTTCACGTTATTATTAGAACATTTGTACAGAGTTGAATGTCAATAAAGAGAACAATTACATCGTAAACGATTTCTTTTTCTTGGATAGGAAGATGATTCATCATTCGTTTAGTTTCTTCGTTCTCTCTCTTTTGAAGAACAACCGAAAAAAACAATAGAAATATTTGTTTTGAATGCAAATGTAAAGCTTCTCATTGAGAATGTTATTTGAAATAACAATTAAATTGAACATAGCCTTTATAGTTACATTGTGAGCAAATACATATCTAAGCATTTATCAGAAATGGAAAGGCACAACAACATTATCGTTTTTGATCAATACATATGCAGTTTGACTTTTACCTACTGTCTACTGATTATTTAAATGCTTTTTAATATTCATTTGTTTTCCAAATTATCAATCATAATATATGTAATTTAACTTGTTCTTGGAGTCATTATTCAATTGTTTCTCATAAAGTTTGATTGCATTCAACAATCTATTGTATTATCCAAAGAATTGGGTTGTTGAAGTCCTGTTAATAACATGGAACTACACAGTAGATATGTGAAATACCAAATCATGGAATGAATTACTTTGTACAACTTGATGAAATTTTTTATGGTGTAGCTTTCTCATGACTGATTAGATACGGAAATGACATGCTTTTCTTTTTGATTCCCATTCAATGAAGCCAAGTGAGATTGTGGTTTGATGTGAGATCATATGAGCACATAACGATGTGAAAAATTCTTTCTTTAAACATTTCAGGA